TGTTAATAAAGATAGTTTTAGGTCTTCCTTTCCAATCTGGATACCCCCCCCATCCTTTCCCCCACTTTATTGCCCTGGCTAGAGCCTCCAGTACAATACTTAGTGGAAGTGTTGAGACAAAGACATCTTTTTCTTGCTACTTATCTTAGGTCTTTCACCATTAAGTATGATGTTAGCTGTAGATTTTTCAGATACTCTTTATTGGTTGAGGAAATCCCCTTCTCTTTTTCTTAGCTGATGTCTTCTCATTAGTGGATGTTAGATGCTCAATACTTCTTTACTGGTTGCCAGACATAAGCTTTGCCATTAGGTGCTGCATATTTTTGTATTCCTAAAAATATTATTGGTCTTTGTTTGGAATACTGTTATTTAGAAAATTTGATTCTTTTGGAGTTTGTTTTTAAGCTTTGTTATGTGGGATCAGAGTAGTGGTTAGTCTGTGGCAAATTTTCCCCAACTAAGGTAAAACCCTCTGAGTACTCTACTATGTGAAATAAGGTTGTCCATTTTGGCTGTTGGGAGCAGGAATTATACCTGGACCTCTGTGAGCTCTCAGGATTTTTCCCTCCAGTTCTTTCAGGTGGTGATTTCCCCCTGGCTTCAGGAAGTTTCCTCACATAAATGTATCGATGAGTATTTAGCTGAACTTAAGGGAAATCCTCTGCTGATCTCTGGACATCTTTGGTGTTCTGTTCTGTAAACTCAGACCACATTGGCCTCATCATCTCATCTCAACAGTAAGAAACAACTGGGCTCTGCCTGGTTACCCTCCTATTCATAAGCTGGGCAATCATAGGGCTCACCTCGTTCTTCTCTCAGGGATCACTGTCCTTCATTGGAATTGGACATTTCAAGATGTTCAATGTTTTGAAAACCATGGTTTCATCTATTTTACTCATTTTTTTAGTTATTTGGCCAATTTCTCCATCTTGGCCAGAAGCAATCAACTGTTCACTCTTTTAAAGTTGACTGTTGATTAACAGAATTAATGAAGTTAATGCAAATAGATGACACTTTTCCTTTTTAGTTAAATTTAAAATACTTTCTCTAGAAAATATACTGTACCCTGAGGTTATGAAATACTCTTAGCTGTGTTCTAAAAATATTATTCTGTCTTTTGTTGTAAAGTCATCAATCCACCTGAAACACATTTTCATGTATTATTTCATGGTTGCCCAATTGCATTCTTATATGGGTACTCAATTGTTCTAGAGCAATTTATTGAAGAGGTGTTTATTCCCCAGGGCTCTGCATAGCTACCTTTGTAATTAATCAACTTGGTTACTTGTCCTGTAGAATTTTCCACATTCTGATTTGGCCAATTGTGATCTTCACTATACCACTTAGAGGTTTTTAAAATTCATTTTATTTCCTATCAACTGGTGATTAGATCAAGTGGCTAAAGTAATTAAGGTTCAATGATGGGAAATATATCTTAAGTAGTACTTTCTACTTCCTATGGCATCATATTAGGAGGCATATTAATTCCATATTGTTCCTATTTAATGTTGCTAAGATTGGCCAACTAGTTCAGGTGTCACCAACCTGATTGTTACCTTTTGAAATTCCCAATCACCCATTTATTATGGATTGTTGCTAAATCGAAGTCTGTCATTCTTTCTGAATATATTAGCTAATTCTTTTATAATAAAATCTCCTCTCACTATTTAATTACAGCTTGTACAGAAAAATCATGATAAATACTTGGCTCTGTTCCTTTACTTATTGAAATTTCAGAATGAGCTAGTATTCTGGCAAACTCCATAAAGGGCTCTATCATTTTTTTTTCATTTTGAATTTAAGAAGTTTTACCTACAATCACGGTTTCAACACACTGCAATAGTTTTTGAGGCTTAAATTATTCTATTTTTGGTCAGTTCCTTTTGGTTGGTGATCCTATGATCTTTATTTTTTTTTTTTTAAGATTTTATTTATTTGACAGAGAGAGACACAGCGAGAGAGGGAACACAAGCAGGGGGAGAGGGAGAGGGAGAAGGAGGCTTCCTGCAGAGCAGGGAGCCCAATGCAGGGCTCAGTCCCAAGACCCTGGGATCATGACCTGAGCTAAAGGCAGACACTTAACAACTGAGCCACCCAGGTGCCCTGATCCTATGATCTTTGATAGCTTTATTGCTTTTAGGTACAATAAGATGTTTTATGATAATCATATATATATTTCCTACCCTTGACCTGTCTTATCTCATTTCTTCAAGGAGCCCTTGCTTCTTTTTTTATAGAAAAGAATTTGAAAACTACAGTCTGGATACTTGGGGAGCTCACTGCTTCTGTGTCATGAATGCTTTTAAATCCTTTGGTAGACGGAGGTAGGAAATACATACTTTCAATTCAAATGAAAGACTATATGGTATTTTACTTCTTTATGATTTTCTTTTGAAAAAATTTAATTCCTCATGAAATTAAGTTATGTAATTAATTTTGGACACACCCAATACCAGTATTACCATTAACAATACTAGAGGGCGCCTGGGTGGCTCAGATGGTTAAGCGTCTGCCTTCGGCTCAGGTCATGATCCCAGGGTCCTGGGATCAAGTTCCACATCAGGCTCCCGGCTCAGCGGGGAGCCTGCTTCTCCCTCTGACCCCCTCCCCTCTCATGCTGTTTCTCTCTCGCTCGCTTTCTAAAAAATAAATAAAATCTTTAAAAAAAAACCAAAAAACCAAAAAACAATACTAGTAAAGGCAGTTTAGATTTCTATTTCTCTTTGTCCTTGAGATACAGAATATTCTTGAGATATTCTCCTAATAGTAAGTCAAAATATATATATATATTTTAAAAGATTTTATTTATTTATTTGACAGAGAAAGACACAGCGACAAAGGGAACACAAGCAGGGGGGGTGGGGGAGGGAGAAGCAGGCTTCCTGCGGAGCAGGGAGCCCGATGCGGGGCTCGATCCCAGGACCCCAGGATCATGACCTGAGCCGAAGGCAGACACTTAACGACTGAGCCACCCAGGCGCCCCAGTCAAAATATTTTTTAAAAAGATTTTATTTATTTACTTGAGAGAGAGAGAACACGAGCATGAGCGGGGGAGGAGCAGAGGGAGAGGGATAAGAAGACTCTGTGCTGAGTGCAGAGCCGAACATGGGGCTTGATCACACAACCCTGAGATCATGACCTTAGCTGAAATCAAGACTTGGACCCTTAACCAACTGAGCCACCCAGGCACCCCAGTAAGTCAAAATATTTTAACACCACTTGAACTTATTGTTCTTTATGTTGTCATGTTATAACATGATGTAGAGTCAAATTCATTGGTTTTGATATATAGGTTTGCTATTTTCCTTTGACTTAATTTTTTAAAAAAGATTTATTTTAGAGAGAGAGCGTGTGAATGGGGGGGAGGGGCAGAGAGAAAGAGAGAGAGAATCTCAAGCAGACTCCCCACTGAGCATGGAGCCTGACACGGGGTTTGATCTCACGACTCTGAAATTATGACCTGAGCCGAAATCGAGTCAGATGCTTAACCCAACTGAGCCAACTGCCCTGACTTAATTTTTAAAATAAAAGATGATATGTAAAGTATCTATATGGATCCAAAGTCAAAATAGAAATCAAAGTATAACCAAAAATAACTCTTTCATCCTTGCCCTCTCCTGTTGTTTCATCTTGAGATTTCTTGTTGAAAATACAGGCATATACTATATTCCTTTCTTCTTCCACAAATATTAGCATAATATATGTATCATTCTGAACTTACCTACTTTTCATTTAACATATCCTGAAGGTCACTCCCTAGAACACAGGTACACAATATTCCACTGTACATTCATATAATTAATTCAGCCAGTCTATTGCTGGGCATCTGTGTTATTTCCAGTTTGCTGCATTTACAAAGAGTGTTTTTAAAAAATTCCTTTGTGTATACCACATTTTGTATCTTTGGGATAGAAGGGTGCTGGTCTTATGGTAAATGCATGAGACTACACATGGACATTACCTGATCCCCCCTATATGAACTGTACTATTTTGCATTTTCATCAGCAATTTGAGAGTCCTTGTTTTTCCAGTCTTGCCAATGGAGTTTATTAATACACTTTTTGAATTTTGCCCATTTAATTGGGATGAAGTGGTATCTCAGTGTGTGTAACTTGCATTCTCGTCTCAATTTTTAGACTCTTTAAGGATATTAGTCTGTGATATAGTTGCAAATATCTCCTCCTGTCATTCTCCTTTAACATTTAGTCCTATAAAATTATTTTTTTCTTCTTTATTTCTCCTGGATTTTTGAGTCATGCTTATTGATATCTCCATTCCAGGGCTATAAAGGAATTCACCCATGTAGTACTTGTTAAGTTTCCTTCTTTTTATTTTTTTACATTTAGATATCTTGATTTGTTGGGAATTCATCTTATGTTACACTGCCAGGGATGAATCTAATTTTCTTTCCTATAAATTTTATCCAACTGTGCTAATAGTAATGAAAAATTCTTTCTCGGGCGCCTGGGTGGCTCAGTTGGTTAAGCAACTGCCTTCGGCTCAGGTCATGATCCTGGAGTCCCGGGATCGAGTCCCACTTCGGGCTCCCTGCTCAGCGAGGAGCCTGCTTCTCCCTCTGACCCTCCCCCCTCTCATGTACTCTCTCTCATTCTCGCTCTCTCAAATAAATAAATAAATCTTAAAAAAAAAAAAATTCTTTCTCAAAATGATTCTAGCAGAATGGTTCCTGCCAAGAAAGGTGGTTAGGGAAAAACTAAGGAATGTTCTGTCATCTCTAAGGTAGACTAGAGAAGACATTATCAAAATTCACAAACATACCAATGGAAAGGGGTTCAAGAAACATGTACCGTAGGCATTCAAGGAGATCCAGGAATTCACAATGAGGGAGAAAGGAGTACCTGATATGCACACTGATACTAAACTCAACACAGAAGTCAAGGCAAAAGGGAAAAGGAATGCCCCATATTTATCTGTATATGGATGTCCAGAAAGTTATTTTTCTCAGTGGATTCATCACCTTAAAAGAAATAGTCAGCATGAATGAAAATGGCTGGTTTATTACAACAAAGTAATATAACAAAAAAAATTCATTTTTCCCATGTGAGTTGAGAAATTCCACAGAAGACAGTAATTTGGGAGGGAACTACTGTTCCCTAATACTGTTTAGCTACTGTTAAAGAACCAAATTATAACTGTGCTAAATACATGTATATAAGCTCAGCATTCTTTAACTTACATAATACTAAAAGGTACCAAGAAAATACTCTTAGAATAAATCAAGTACTGAACTGATAAGGTACATCTTCATCATTGATATCTTGCAGTTATGTGTAAACTACAGAATTATCACCCATCCAGATCAGAGTTTAAACATCCTGGGTAAATGTCATTTGACTACTGTGTTAGTTTTTTCTATGTATGTTCATGAGTGAAATTATTCTGGAATTTGTTGTTCAAGGGCTACTTAACATCTCATTTTATTAATCAGAATTATGTTAGTCTTTAGCATCTGCTCGCAATTTTTCCATAGGATTTTCTGTTCCTTCAGGGGGCAGCCTGTACAATTATCTGCTCCTACATGATTTTTAAAGATTATTTTTTCCAATTGTTAAATTTTTTTGGCCCCTTTCAGTTACTCTTGAAATTTAATCATTTAAAATGTTTTCCTAGAAAACAAACCATACTCTATTTAAAAGTTGGATCTAATAAGGCTTACATCTATTTATATTACCATTAAAAATATCCTCTAAAACATATATCAGAATTCTTTCTTATAATGTGAAGGCATTGCCAAAGTTTAGTAATAATAGTTTTCGTCAAAGAAACATTTTGACCTAAAATAAAAAAACCTTTTGTATTGTTCTTTATTCCATGATTTTTGCTTTATTTTCATTAAAACTCTCCATTAATTCAAACACCCATTGGGGCATTAGCTTGTTTAGTTCAGTAATCATTATTTAATTTGACAAATATTTGGACTCCACAACGTAACAGGCACTTTCATAAGTGTGGAGATACAATGGTGACAAGAGGTAAACTGCCCTCGATTGTTTTAGTTATCTACATAGAGTAATTTCCATTGAGAACTGCCACGGTCATGTTCATAGGATTTGATATATAGGAGTTTCATTATCATTCACAACTAAATAGCCTGTAATTTTTTTGATTTGCTTATTACTTTGATAATTATTGATAAATTTCCAAGAGGTCAGGATTCATTTGGCCATTTTCTAATTTCTAAATTTTAACTGTGGTGATAAAATGAATAGGACATTTGGCTTTAGAAATTTGTTAGAGACAAATCACTTCCAAATGCCTTCAAAAACAAAACAAAAAACATTGCTGAGCACTCAACTACCCCATTTTCATTAAAACCGTAAGGCTTTCTTTACAGTACGGATTTTTTGGTACAGCAAATGAATACTGATTCAAAGCTTTCTTCCCTTCATTCTGTTTTACTGGTTTTTCTTCAGAATTATCCTACTGTTCAATAAGATACATATACAGATGGCATATTTGTCTATATTCATTATATTGTCAAGGTCTTTATCTCATAGAAATGGTCTAATACTAATATTAATGATGGTCATGACATCATTTAAGTTGTCAAGCTCATTTAACCCTTATAATCAAATAAGTAAGGAAACAGACACAGATTTGAGTTACTTTCCAAAAAATACAGATATGTTGGAACTAAGGCATACCAAAGAAGTTGTATGACATAGCTCAAGGCTTTCCAAGATTAATTACGTAACAGAAATTCACCTTTAGTGTAATTCTGTGAAAGTGTAAGAAGATTTAAAAAGTGATGGAAGGTTGCCCTACACGAGTTAGATTTAAATTCTATGCAGAATAATATCAATGATGTGGAGAATGCTTTAAGAATGATTCAAAAGAGAGTCACAGTGTCATCTTATTCATAGGGTTTTACTCTGGTATTCCAAATGGAAAATTATTCAGTAAATGCTTTCCTGTATTAATACAGATTGCATTACGAATTCTCTGCTGTTGAGTGTGTTATGTGCTCTGACAGTCTTCCAGGATTACTTACACTTGTGGGGTTTCTCAAAAGAAGAAATTAACAGACATCAATTAATGAGTCATGAATATTTTTATATCATAAGATTTTATAAGAGTGAAATAAAGTGAGAGCTTGGAGAAAATGTCTCAAAATTTTTATATTCATAGGATTTCTCTAAAGTGTAAATACCCTGGTGTTGAGCAAAGTCTGAGTCCTGACTAAAGGTGTTCCCATAGTCTTTCCATTGATAGAGATTCTTACCATTGTGAATTTTCTGTTCAGTAAAATATGGATGGTGACCAAAGATCTGGCTACTTTCCTTACATTCATAGGAATCTGTATCAGTATGAATTTTCTTATGTCGTGTAAGTTGTGAGCCCCAGATAAAAGATTTCCCACATTCCTTACATACATAAGGTTCCTCACCAGTATGTATTCTCTGATGTCGAGTAAGTTGTGAACCCCAGAGAAAGGCTTTTCCACATTCTTCACATTCATATGGTCTCTTTCCAGTATGGATTTTCTGATGTCGATTAAGTTCTGAACCACGAAAAAAGGTCTTTCCACATTCCTTACATTCATAGTTTCTCTCACCAGTATGAATTTTTTGATGTCGATTAAACTCTGAGCCATGAAGAAAGGTCTTTCTACATTCCTTACATTCATAGACTTTCCTCTCATTATGAATTTTCTCATGTTGAGCAAGATATGAGGCCCAAATAAATGTCTTCCCACATTGCTTACATTCATGTGGTTTCCTACCAGTATGAATTCGTTGATGTCGAGCAAGGTGTGAACTCCAGATATAGGCTTTTCCACATTTCTCACATTCATAGGGTTTCCTACCAACATGAACATTCTGATGTTGAGCAAGATTTGAACCACGAATAAAGGCTTTTCCACATTCCTTACATTCATGAGATTTCTCAGTAGTGTGAGTTCTCTGATGTTGAGTTAGGTGTGAGCCACGAGTAAAAGCTTTTCCACACTCCTTACATTCATAAGGTTTTTCACCAGTGTGAATTCTCTGATGTTTAGTAAGATGTGATCGCTGACTAAAGGCCTTCCTACATTCATTACATTCATAGGGTTTCTCACCAGTATGAATTCTCTGATGTCGTGTAAGATCTGAGCCACAACTAAAGGCCTTCCCACATTCCTTACATTCATAAGACTTCTCACCAGTATGAATACGCTTATGGACACTAAGTTGTGAATGAAATCTAAAGGCCTTCCCACATTCCTTACATTTAAAAGGTTTTTCACCAGTATGAATCCTCCTATGACCAGTAAGACTTGAACGCAAACTAAACGCCTTCCCACATTCTTTACATTCATAAGTTTTCTTAGCAGTGTGAACTGTCTGATATTGAGTAAGTTCTGAATCAGAAAGAAAGGTCTTCTCATATTCCTTATCTTCACAAAATTTCTCCCTCGTGTGAATTACTTGATGTTGAGTACAGTCTGAACCAGAAGGAAAGGCTTTCCCACATTCTTTAAATTCATTCAGTTTCTTTCCTGTATTCTGTTTGTGATGTACATTAAAAGCTGTGTGATGTTTAGAAGTGGACATTTTTTCACCAGCGAGTATAACCTGCTTAAAACATTCTTCCTGATTTTGATTTTCATGTTGTGTTTCAAACTGACCTTTGCTTTCCCAATCACCCCTAAAACACAAATATTCAAGGCTGTGTTTTTTACAAATTTCCAATTGAGTCAATTCTCTCTCAAAAGTGACCTTTTTTTGTGATAACTTCTTGCTCTGACATCTGGACTGCATGTCTGAAAGATAAGAAGATAAATTCATACTGTTTTACTGTTCAAAAAGAATCAAAATGTCCAATGTAGATATAAAAAGCAAATCCTAAAATATGTAAGGCACACAAGAAGTGAATGACTTAAGAAATTCTCAAATTCCGGGCAATATGAAAAAGGGGCAAAAAATAAATAGAAATTAAAGAGAACTAATAAAAGTTGAGGTGAGTGATTAGATATATAAAAGCTTTGTTTTAGTCAAATTCATCTGAGCAGTTCAATTTAAAAAAAAAAAAGGTTATTCAGGTACCACCCAGTCATGGAATGCCAATGTAAAGATAAGACTGTTTCACTCAGTATGGTAAATCAACCCTTAGCATATATTAGGCATTAAAAACATAATTCTGTAAAAAATACAAGACCAAAAAAAAAAAAAGGGAAGAAATGGGGGGAATTTAGGGTGGAGTAAAGGATCTTACAAAAACCAAGTACCAGGAAGCACAACTGGGATCATTTAATCATATAATAATGTAATACACCTCACTGTCTAGTTGCTTCCATCTTTACTGTAATGAGTACATAAACTGCTTCCATATTACTTTCTGTACAGATAGGAGGAAACAAAAGCGTATCTAAACTAACTCAAAGACAAATATGCAGAAATGTAATCATGCCTACTTAATCATTTTCAATTTGCCTTTGCAAAGACTTCACCCTGCTCATTTCCTCCACGGTGCATAGCCAAGCCATCTTTTTGTCACATGACTCCAACCAAGGTGCTTTTGTTTTCTTTATTCTTGAGTTTATAGTATTGCTCATCCATTCTGCTTTATGCTTTCAAGCCCTTCCCTAGGTCTCCTCTTCCTTTCCCTTCTATGCAAGGCCACTGAAAATATTGCAGAAAGTATCTACAAATTTTCAAGTACTATGGAAGATACTATGATGAATGTCTTATATAATTCTGAGCTTAAAAACAGTAATGTTGGGTACTGTTTTTATCAGTACTGATAGAGTATCAGTCTAATATGTGGGAAGTAATCTAGTCTAGAGTTAATAGACAGGAACTCAGTAACACAGGTGTGTTGCATTAGGTTAAAGGACATAATTATGTGTGATTGGGTGATAGTTGAAAAAGGAAAATAGTTTGAGAAGTTGCCAAGGGCAAAGAGTCTGGCATGAGCTAGGAATAAGAAGGACCACTCTGTGACTCATTTTTGATATGTGCCAGATTTGATGAAACTGTCATGTGGTTATGTTATAAATTTTTCTTGGGAGTAGAGCCGGGAATGGAGCAAGTACTCTAGCAGTGACAGAGTAAGTTGAAAGGCAGTTCATTTACATGTGTAAGTAATAGTGTATTGTAGCAGAAAAAGGACAGGCTACAGTTTCAGGCTCAGTTCTGTTTACTAACACCATCTTTAGGTTATGAGAAAATTACTGAGCTTGACTGAGTGCTTATTTTTCTGTATGACATTAGAGATATTAATATGTTTTTTAAAGAGATTTATCGAGAGGATTGGGAAAATGTACTATGTTATAAAAACTTTTATTTTGAAATACAGTTGACCCTGGAACAACACAGGTTTAAACCGCACAGGTCCACTTAACACATGGATTTTTTTCCAGCATTGTAAATTTATGGTTTCTTTCTTATGATTTTCTTTTTTTTTAAAGATTTTATTTATTTATTTGACAGAGAGAGAGACAGCGAGAGGGAACACAAGCAGGGGGAGTGGGAGAGGGAGAAACAGGCTTCCCGCGGAGTAGCGAGCCCGATGCGGGGCTCGATCCCAGGACCCCGAGATCATGACCTGAGCCGAAGGCAGATGCTTAACGACTGAGCCACCCAGGTGCCCCTCTTATGATTTTCTTAATAACATTTTCTTTTCTCTAGCTTACTTTAAGAGTCCATTACATAACACATATAACATATAAAGTATATGTTAATTTATGTTATCAGCAAGGTTTCCAGTCAACAGTAAGCTACTAGTAGTTAAGTTTTTGGGAAGTTAAAATTTATACATTAATTTTTTAAAGGATTTATTTATTTTACAGAGAGAGAGAGTGCTCAAGCAAGTGGGGGAGGGGCAGAGGGAGAGGGAGAGAATCTTTTTTTTTTTTAAAGATTTTATTTATTTATTTGACAGAGAGAGACACAGCGAGAGAGGGAACTCAAGCAGGAGGAATGGGAGAGGGAGAAGCAGGCTTCCCGCGGAGCAGGGAGCCTGATGTGGGGCTCGATCCCAGGACCCTGGGATCATGACCTGAGCCGAAGGCAGATGCTTAACAACTGAGCCACCCAGGCGCCCCGGGAGAGGGAGAGAATCTTAAGCAGACTCCCTACTGAGCACAGAGCCTGAAGCGGTGCTCGATCTCATGACCCTGAGATCATGTCCTGAGCCAAAACCGAGTCAGACACTTAACCAACTGAGCCACCCAGGTGCCCCTACATGAATTTTTGGCTGTGCAAAGGTTGGCATCCCTAAACCCTCAAGTTGTTCAAGGGTCAGCTGTAATTATAGATTCACAATAAGTTGCAAAGAGTACCCTTTACCCAGTTTTGCCTGATGAATACATCTTACATAATTAAAGCACAGTATCAAAATCATGTAACTGACATTGGCACAATGAATATGTATAGTTATGTCATTTATCACATATGTGGATACCTGTAACCACCACCAACCACAATCAAGATATAGACCTAAATCATTATTACATAGATTCTACCTCTTGTGCTACCTCTTTATAGCCATAACTATGACCACCACTCCCCTTTCCATCCCTAAGCCCTGGCAACCACTAATATATTTTCAATCTTTATAATTTAGTGATTTCCAAAATATTCTATAATTGGATTCATTTGGCATGGGACCTTTGGCATTTTTCATTCAGCACAATATCCTGGAGGTTCATTTAAGTTGTTTTAGCTATCGATAGTTCAGAAAAAGAACGATTTTATTTTATTTATTTATTTATTTGACAGAGAGAGAGACACAGCGAGAGAGGGAACATGAGCAGGGGAAGTGGGAGAGGGAGAAGCAGGCTTCCCGCTGAGCAGGGAGCCCGATGTGGGGCTCGATCCCAGGACCCTGGGATCATGACCTGAGCCAAAGGCAGATGCTTAACGACTGAGCCACCCAGGCGCCCAAAAGAACGATTTCAGAACACAAATATAACCTCTGGAGTTCAAAACCATAATTCCAATAGGAAATAAAATTTATTTTCTTTCCTTGATATTTCTTTTTTTTTTTTTTAAGATTTTATTTATTTATTTGACAGAGACACAGCGAGAGAGGGAACACAAGCAGGTGGAGTGGGAGAGGAAGCCGGCTTCCTGAGGAGCAGGGAGCCCGATGCAGGGCTCAATCCCAGGACCCTGGGATCATGACCTGAGCCGAAGGCAGACGCTTAACGACTGAGCCACCCAGGCGCCCTTTTTCCTTGATATTTCAAAAAAACCCCACAAACTCCTAAATAAACAACTAACAAATACTGTGGGGGAAAAAAAAAGAAGCTCCAAGAATACGTTACTTCAATCTGAGTTCTGCCCATAATAGAAAATTCATCAATTAGCCTCAACTTGCCAAATATGTGCCTTGTTTCCTCTTGACAGCCTGGACTTGTCTTTTATGACATTGCAGTCTCTTTGTTGTCCTCCATTAGCCTTTTTTTTTTTTTTTAAGATTTTATTTGTTTATTTGACAGAAAGAGACACAGCCAGAGAGGGAACACAAGCAGGAGGAGTGGGAGAGGGAGAAGCAGGTTCCCCACTGAGCAGGGAGCCCTATGTGGGGCTCGATCCCAGGACCTGGGATCATGACCTGAGCCGAAGGCAGACGCTTAATGACTGAGCCACCCAGGCGCCCCTGTTGTCCTTCTTTGGCCTTAAACTCTCTTTTGCTGCTTACTATTCACTGTAACCAGAAGCCATTTTCACCTATTATCCTGATTTTCAACTAAGCAGCCTATCAGGCCTTCTCTTAATGTAGAGCCTATTTTGCCAAAATTTATGGACATGTTCCAGTCACAGAAAAGAATACAAGTTTCTTAATAGGTTATATACTCTGTTAACTCTTCTTATCCCAAAATGAAACTGGAAAATCAACAAATGTTGGTTAAAAGAACGAATTAGTGAGTGCAGGAAATGCAGAAACAAGGAGAAATTTAGGCAAAATAAGAAAAATTCAAGATACAGTAGGCAGAATAAAAACGGGGTCAAAAGTTTTTTTAGGGAGAAATTTACAAATATGTAAATGAAAAAAAGAGAGATAGAAAGAAATTGAGTCAAAGCATTGATAAACTGACTACTGGAGAAAAAGAATGACACTTACCTTTTTATAACATGAGGGAAAGAATCTGAAGAGTACTGAATTAGAGTGGTATTTGGAGGTGAAGAGAAGGGTCATTTGGAAATTCATGGTGAAAGGTTACTTTTGACTCTAGGTCTCAGATCTTTATCCATAGGTTTTTATCCCTTGAGGAGGAGACTCGGGGCCAGTATTTCAGAGATGCCGCGGCCTCACTAAACATCTGGGCTCTTATCTACAATGATGGCGTCCCTGTGCTGGCTCAGCCCTCACTCACCTGGGCAAGGTCCTCTTGTCTCATCCTGTAAAACCATCCAGGGCTCTTTCCCCTTCTCCAGTAAAGAGAACACATCTGGCTGATAAATGCAAAGTCCTGATCAGAGATAAGAAACAGGAAATGACCATGTGGTAAAGATTTCAAAATTTGCAACTAGTCCCTTGGTTATGAAGGAAGAGAGACAATTATAGGAAGAGCAAGAAAAAGGCATGAAGTATTTCTAAAGGATGGAGAAGATAGAGGTTCCCACTGATGATGACTATTACCAAATTTATAAAGCATAAACCATTTTCCCAGAAAGAAGTCAGGAATTCCCCTAGACACTTAAAAGACAATTCAAAAATTCACAATGTAGAAATCAGAAACTTCTGGGGTTAGATTCTGAATCTTACCCAGTGAGATCATGTTGCTGTAGTTCTCCAACATCACATCTCTGTACAAATGTCTCTGTTCCAAGCCTAGGCATTCCCACTCCTCCTGAGAAAAGTCTACAGCCACATCCCTGAACATCATCAACTGCTGAAACAAACAACCCAAGCATCAACAGTGAAATTAAAAAACCTTTTTTTTTTTTAAAGATTTTATTTATTTATTTGACAGAGAAGAGCAGGAACACAAGCAGGGGGAGTGGGAGAGGGAGAACAGGCTTCCTGCCGAGCAGGGAGCCCGATGTGGGACTTGATCCCAGGACCCTGGGATCATGACCTGAGCCGAAGGCAGACGCTTAACGACTGAGCCACCCAGGTGCCCGAAATTAAAAAATCTTTTAAATAGAAGGGAGAAGAAATGAAAACGTGCACTGTAGGAAGCAGTATACTCACTGAGCAAAAAACTGAAGTTGGCTGCCTGTAGTATAGGGGGAAATGACATGGAAATTAGTGTGACTGAAGCTGAGTGCCTATATGCTCTTCAAATCTTCTGTTGTTCAGTCACAACATCCTTATGACCTCCCAGGGACAAACACCAGACAATAGGATGGCAGCCCAGAATTAAGAGTTCTTTGTTGATACCACTGGGATGCCACGCCAGGCTTACAGGACTAACTCCAGATTTATTATGTGACAAACACTTCTTTTCCCCCTTAGGCTACTTTTAGTTGAATTTTCTGTTAGCTGAAGTTGAAGGGATTCTTAGAAGACACACTTCCTAACTGAATACCATTTTCTGTGGGAGTGTATAAAATCTCTGGGCTCTCAGATAAGTAGCTGACAATCAACACATGTCTTGTTAATAATATTAATCTCTCACTGATTTCCTGGCAAGATCCCAGATCTCTCTGAACTTTGCCAACTAATAAAACGGAACACCAACCAACACCAACTCTCACCTTTACTAATTGAAAGACCCCATTCTACAGAGTAAAGAAAAGCTTTCATGTAGAGTATCCCTTTGACCCACTCAGTTCCAACTTGTTAAGCCACAGATTTGAAAAGAAAGTCTCTACTATTTCCTCTAAGGAAAAATATTTCTCCTCCTTCAGTGCTCTGCCAAAGTATTAGGACATGGGAGGTGCTGAATGCCGTGCTGGAGAGAAGAGGGACATCTAGGAAGGCAGTGGACTGTTCACGGCTATCACTTACCACAATGAATAGTACTCAAGTAAGCAGCTTAAGGATAAAAAAGTATTCATATGATGTGATATAAATGATTATAATTTTGGAGAGAGGCAATTCCAACTCACATGGGCCATGACTTAAAATTCCAAGAATCAATCAGTCTTCTAGACTCCTCTCCTGGTGAAGCAGAGTCCCGAGAAAGCAGAGCTAGAAGGAAGGAATCAGGAGAGGTCAGGTTTACCTCAGAGCTTTCAGATGGACTAAGAATTCCATTTTCTTCCCTGAAGAAAGATCAGAGGGAGTCTACAGAAATCCTGGCCCAAACCAAAACCCAAGTGACTCATTCTCCCTCCCTTTTTCCCAGTCCTAAGTAACCACTAATTCACTTTCTGTCTCTATAGATTTCCCTATTCTGGACTTTCATATGAAAGGAATCATACAATATATGAACTTACTGTGACTAGTCTATCTCATTTAGCATAATGCTTTTGAGGTTCATCCAAGTTGTAGCATGTATCAGTATTTCATTCCTTTCTATAGCTGAATAATATTCCATTGTATGACTAGACCACATTTTTGTTTACCCATTTATCCATTAATGGACATTTGGGTTGTTTCTACCTTTTGACTGTTATAAATATGCTGCTATGAACCTTTGTGTACAAGTTTTTATGTTCGAATACTTGTTTTTGGTTTTTAGAGTACAAGTTTTACACTTCACTTATTAAATTTATTCCTAAATATTTTATGCTTTTTGATGCTATTGTGAATGGAATTGTTTTCTAAATGTCATTTTTGGATTCTTCATTGCAAAGGTATAAATACACATTTGACTGGGGAGAGGGGCAGAGGGAGAGGCAGAGAGCGAATCTTCAGCAGGCTCCATGCCCAGTGCAGAGCCTAATGCAGGGCTTGGTCTCACAACCCTGAGGTTATGACTTGAGCCAACATCAAGAGTTGGATGCTTAACTGAGTTACCCAGGTGCCCCTACACTTGATTTTTATCTATTCATCTTATGCCCTAAAACTTTTTTTTTTTTAAGATTTCATTTATTTGTCAGAGAGTGAGAGTGAGAGAGAGCACACACAAGCAAGGGGAGTTGCAGGCAGAGAGAGAAGCAGGCTCCCCACTGAGCAAGGAGCCTATTGCGGTTGGGACTCAATTCCAGGACCCTGGGATCAGGGCCCCAGCTGAAGGCAGACGCTTAACTGACTGAGCCCCCCAGGTGTCCTCTTAAAACTTCTCTAAACTCCTTTATTAGTTCTAATAGGTTTTTTGTGCATGTGGATTCCTTAGGATTTTCTATATTAAAAAAAATCATGTCATGTGTAGATAGAGACGGTTTAACTTCTTTTCCTAGTTGTTTTTTATTTCTTCTTTCTTGCCTAACTGCTCTGTAAATCTCCAGTACAATACTGAATAGAAGTGGCAAAAGCAGTCATTCTTGTCTTATTCCTGATCTTAGGGGGAAAACATTCAGAGATTCACTATCAAATATGTTAGCTATAGGATTTCTGTAGGTGCCCTATACCAAGTTAAAGAAATTCCCTTTCATTCCTAGTTTATAGAGTATTTTTTAAATGAAAAGGTATTGGCTTTTGTCAAATGCTTTTTCTGTATCTATGAAAATGACTACGTGATTTTTGTTTTTTATTCTATTGATATGATGTATCACATCAACTGATTTTTGGATGTTCAGACAACTTTGCATTCCTGGGATATATTCCACTTCGTCATGTTGTATAATTCATTTTATACATTGCTGGACTTGGTCTGCTAATATTTTGTTGAGGATTATTGTGCTCAAATTCTTATGAGATAAGCTTTGTTTGGTTTTGGTATCTGGCTAATACCGGCTTCATCAAATAGGTTGGGATCTTAGCTGTATCCTCTCTTTTTTTAAATTTTTTAAAAAAGTGAACTCTATACCCAATATGGGGCTCAAACTCACAACCCCAAGATCAAGAGTCACATGCTCTTCCAATTGTGCCAGCCAGGCACCCCTGGCTATAATCTTTAATTGCAGCAGAGAAGACACTGGGGAACTCAGAACTGATAGTAGGAGGCCTTCTGAACCAGGTTATGTTCTGAACAACAAAGAAAACCTGGCTGTTCAAAGGAACCATATTTTATTTTATTTACTTATTTTTAATTTAAATTTTAGGTAGTTAACATACAGTACAATATTGGTTTCTGAAACAGAATTCAATGATTCATCATTTACATACAACACCCAGTGCTCATCGTAACAAGTGCCTTCCTTAATACACATCACCCATCTAGCCTATCCCTCCCCCACCTCCCGCTATCAACCCTTAGTTTGTTCTCTATTGTTAAGAGTCTCTTTTTTTTTTTTTTTTTAATTTATTTGAGAGAGAGAGAATGAGAGACAGAGAGCACGAGAGGGAAGAGGGCAGAGGGAGAAGCAGACCCCCTGCTGAGCAGGGAGCCTGATGCGGGACTCGATCCCGGGACTCCAGGATCATGACCTGAGCCGAAGGCAGTCGCTTAACCAACTGAGCCACCCAGGCGCCCGTTAAGAGTCTCTTATAGCTTGTTTCACTCTCCTTTTTTTCATTTCCCCTTCCCATATATTCATCTGTTTTCTTTCTTAAATTCCACCCATGAGTGAAATCATACAGTATTTGTCTTTCTCTGACTGACTTATTTCACATAGCATAATACACTCTAGCTCCATCCATGTTGTTGCAAAGGGCAAGATTTCATGCTTTATGATGGCTGAGTAATATTCCTGTGTGTGTGTGTGTGTGTGTATAAACCACGTCTTCTTTATCCATTCATCAGTTGATGGACATTTGGGCTCTCTCCATAGTTTGGCTATTATTGATACTGCTGCCAAAAACATCAGGGTGTGTGTATCCCTTTGAATCTGTATTTTTGTATCCTTTGGGTAAATAACTAATATTGCAATTGCTGGGTCACAGGATAGTTCTATTTTAAACTTTTTTTTTTTAAGATTTTATTTATTTTTTAGACAGCGAGCGAGAGAGAAACAGCATGAGAGGGGAGAGGGTCAGAGGGAGAAGCAGGCTCCCCGCTGAGCCGGGAGCCCGATGTGGGACTCGATCCCAGGACTCTGGGATCATGACCTGAACCGAAGGCAGACGCTTAACCATCTGAGCCACCCAGGCATCCTCTATTTTAAACTTTTTGAGGAACCTCCATACTGTTTTCCACAAAGGCTGCCCAAGTTTGCATTCTCACCAACAGTGCAAGAGGGTTTGTTCCCCTCTCTCCGCAGAGGAACTGTATTTTCTTTTTTTTTTTAAGATTTTATTTATTTGACAGCGAGAGAGACAGCGAGAGAGGGAACACAAGCAGCGGGAGTGGGAGAGGGAGAAGCAGGCTTCCCGCGGAGCAGGAAGCCCGATGCGGGGGCTCGATCCCAGGACCCTGGGATCATGACCTGAGCCGAAGGCAGACGCTTAACGACTGAGCCACCCAGGCGCCCCAGAGGAACTGTATTTTAAAGAAAATGTCTCCCATTGTAGTAACAGAGGAGAGAGAACTCTTGGGCAGAAGAACCTAAAAACTACTTTTTCACAGGAAAGCACCAGTGACAGCTATTCTGAGATAATCTATCACCTTCAAAAAAAATAAAATTAGAACCATTGTGTCCCAAGATATTGTTAGATATGTTTGAAAAGAGTGCCAAAATTCCCCTATGTATAAAGAAAACTGCCTAAAAGACACTGGAGAAGATTAAAATTATTATCCAACATTCCAGTATGAGTAAAATAATAATTTATTTTTATTTATTTATTTTTAAAAAATAATTTCTGATATAATCATAGCTCTGAGGCAAGACTACGTGCACAAATATTACAATGATTTCAGGAATGGGAAGGAAGTGATGAGCAGACTCCATGTGAGAGTTGAATTCAAAAGTGAAAGAGAACATAGGCAAAATCACTTTAGAAATGAAGAACAAACAAGCACAAGGTATGACAAATACCACAGAAAGTGCATGGACAAAGAATACAGAAATTAGGGAGCAGAGCAAAATAAAACAAAGAAAGAGATGACAATTATTGGAAGAAAACAGTGCAAGTCAGAGATAATCCAACTTGCAAATAAGCAGACCCCTACAGATGAAATCCAAATCAAGGAAGAGAACAAGTATTAAAAATTACATTTTTAACATTAAAAATAATTTCCTGAAATAAAGCATGAATATACATAATGAAAAGACACACACCATATTGCAGGGAGAAATGATTCAGAATTGTCAGTACCAAAACATTTCCTAATAAAATTATTAACCTAAAACCCCTGGGAAATCAAGATAAAAATATCAAGTTACCTATGAGAAAAAGGAAATTCCGTTGTTAGACTTCTCCACTGCTAAATTCAGAGCCCCAAATAGTGAGTAGTCTCTCCAATATACTTGTAGGAAAATAAATGACAGAATCGAAGATTTTATATGCAGCCAAGCTGTCCTTCAAATATAAAGGATATAAAAAGTTCTATGCTCCAAGAGCTTAGGGAATATTACTCACATGGGTGCTTTCTAAACTACTAGAGGACATATTTCTGCCTTTAAAGAGAGAATAGAGAAAATTTCAGGAAATTTTTTATCGTATTATCATTTATACACTTGAATATATATATGACAAATTTCAATAAAAAGTTCATTTTACAAATTATGGAGAAATATATACAAGGCAAATGCAAACAAACAAAAAAATAAGCAGGGGCGCCTGGGTGGTAGAGTTGGTTAAGTGTCCAACTCTTGATCTCAGGTCAGGTCTTGACCTTAGGGTTGTGAGCTCAAGACCCCCATTGGGCTCTATGCTGGGTGTGGAGCCTACTTAAAAAATTAAAAAATAAATTAAAAAAAGAAAAGCAATTCGTTTATTAAAAAATTAACAGGGGCTATGATCTTGAGCATGCTAAAATACCAAAGCCTCCAATTCACAATAAAAATAATTATGAATATCTAGATTCACCTGGGTGGCTCAGTTGGTTAAGCATCCAACTCTTGATTTGGGCTCAGGTCATGATCTCAGGGTCATGAGATAGAGTCCTGCGTCAGGCTCTGTACTGGGCATGGAGCCTGCTTAAGATTCTCTCTCTGCCTCTCCCCCTACTCCTCTCTCTAAAAATAATAATAATAATAATGATGATGATGATGAACATATATCAACTAACAGCAGCAACTTCAATAAAGCAGAAGCTACAGGTTATGTAAGATAAAACTTCATTCACAGAGTATTTTAATACATTTTTGTCAATCAAAGACAAATCAAGTGGAAAACAAGCACTATAGACTGGCCATATATTAGATCACTAAGAAAAATTCAAAAAATATCATAATGCAGGGTGCCTGGGTGGCTCAAATGGTTAAGCGTCTGCCTTCGGCTAAGGTCATGATCCCAGGGTCCTGGGATCGAGTCCCGCATCAGGCTCCCTGCTAGGCGGGGAGCCTGCTTCTCCCTCTGCCTCTCTCTCTCTCTCTGACTCTCATGAATAAATAATTAAAACATTTAAAAAATATATCATAATGCAGCAAAACTGGAAATTACAAGCAAAGAGGGGGCCTATTGTGCCTTACCTGAATTCCTCAATTTTATCAATAGGGATTGAGTTCCCTTCATGTCACAGGGCTCAAGACCCTTCCATAGCACTAAGGCTAAGACACTATACCACTATATTGGTTTTCTACTACTGAGCAACAAATTAGCATAAACACAGTGGCTTAAAATAATACAAATTTATTACCTTACACTTAGGCAGTTAGGTAAAAGTCTGAGATGGTTCTCATTGGGCTAAGATCAAGGTGTCAGCAGGGCTGTGTTCCTTTCTGTAGGCTCTAAGGGAGAATTATTTATTTCCTTATGTTCTCCAGAGTCTAGAGGCCACCAACATTGCTCCCTTCCTTCAGCCAGTAATTTTGCATATCTCTGACCATTCTTCTTTGATTCTATCTCCCTCTGACTCTAAACCCTTGGGAAAGGTTTACTGACTTTGAGAATCCATTGGGCCTAATTGGATAATCTAGGATAATTTCTCCATTTCAAGGTCCTTAACTTAATCTTGTTTGCAAAGTCCCCTTTGCCCTGTAAAGCAAAATATTCACAGGTTCCAGGGATTAGGACCTGGACATCTTTGCAGGGGCATTATTCTGCCTACCCCAACCACCTTTAAAGCTTCTATCCTTGGCTCCTCTCTTTCTGATGGGTACTCAGAAATCCACCTCCTTCTATCCCATCACTTCCTCTCCAACAGTCTTGAATCCAACCAGGATAAGCATCAATATCCCCTGTATCCATGTTTATGTCCATCATAAGAAGCCTTAGATTCCTGATAATCTCTCCATTCAGACACTGTACTCCCAATCAGTTGAATGTACCCCCTTCTCATCCCTCCCCAAATCTTGACACTTTCTAGTATGCCCTCTGGAATTCATAATTCATTAATAACAAACCCCTCTTCTATCCCCAACCACTTTTTGAATATTCCCTTCACCTTTGGGTCTAAGGGAAACCTGGCTCTCCCCAGAGGACTCTGCAGCCTTTTCAATATCTCCCTCTCCTACCCGCCACAGCTTCTTGCCACTGGGTCTGGAAGCAGGGCAGGTACCCTCCTTGTTCTTACTGCTTTCAGACTTTTCTCTCTTCCTCCTCCGAAAAAGCTCTAGCTTGGAATTTCATGCCATGAGATTATTTATAATTCACCACACCTCACTGTTGCTGACATCTACCAAATACAGGATATTTCCCCTTGTTTTTTGAAAACCTGAGCTCATGGCTCATTCTCTGCAACACTACTACCCTCTTTTATTCTTGGAGTTGCACTGCATACACACAGATGAGCCTTGCTTACTCATTCTCACCTGTATTTCTACTTTTCCCTCTCTTGTGGCTCATTATCACCAATATACTGCAACGTTGTTATTTCCCCTATTTCTCTATTTCTATTTCTCTGCTCATATTTACAGAGAAATTCTTGGGATATGTTCTCTACACTGTCTCCTATTCCTCTCCCCACATTCTACAATGACCCAACTCAACCCAACTAACGGCCACCACAGAAACTGCTCTCCACACATTTACGAATAACTATGATTGTTACTAAATGCAATATTCTTTGTTTCTGGCTCCACAGCTGCTGCTACCACATTTACACAAACGGTCAGGCACACAATGGTGCAGTCACAATCATATACATGTACAGTCACACCTAAACGGTCATTACAATCACGTACAGCTCCCCTCACCATCGTGCGCATGCAAACACACACACATACACACCCCCAACCCTACAGCTCCTGAGCGATGACCCCCACATCCCGCTCCCGTAACAATTTCTTTTTTTTTTTTTTTAAAGATTTTATTTATTTATTTGAGACAGAGAATGAGAGACAGAGAGCATGAGAGGGAGGAGGGTCAGAGGGAGAAGCAGACTCCCCGCCGAGCAGGGAGCCCGATGCGGGACTCGATCCCGGGACTCCAGGATCATGACCTGAGCCGAAGGCAGTCGCTTAACCGACTGAGCCACCCAGGCGCCCCTCCCGTAACAATTTCACACAAGCACCCACAGATCCCATCCGTGATCGCGCGGGAGCGGACACACACATACACAGCTCCCTACCACCTTCCCTCCCACACCCAGTTGCTGGCAAAGCCCGAGACTCCGAAAACATCCGTCCCTCACTGCCCACTGCCCTCCCCAGTGGCCTTGGCCCCTCAGGAGTCATGCCGCTTCTGGGTCTAAGACTCTCTTCTTACCTGACCCTGCGGTCTCTACAAGAATGTTCCGCTGGGATTCGGGCGCGATGCTTCCTACGGTCCTGAAAGCGTCAGCGCGCGGCCAGGAAGCGGCTTCGGCTATGGTGGGCATTGGAAAACGTAGTCAGAGCCTGGACAGCCTTTCAGAGCCCAGAGCCGACAATCTCAAGTCACAGGCCTGGGCCTCGGCCCCCATCCTTTCCCGCGACAAAGACCATTGCCCTCATAACTGCTCACATGCGTGGCAGAGGGCTTCCATTAGTTCCAGGCCGCGTTTAGAACGCAAGACTCCACTAAGGCCGCCACGCTGCTCCTCCACAAACGTGTGCCCCAGTCTGGGCACCTGGACAAACGAACAAATGCTGCCTTTACCGGAAGTAGCCTTGGACGCGATGGCCCTTGGGAAATGTAGTTCAGGGCCGTAGGCCAAAGTACCTCAGAGGAAGGGTGTAATTCTTCGCGGCTTGAGTTCTCTGACTGGGCATCTGAAAGATATGGTGTGACAGAAAGGTCCCGTTAGGCAGTGCCTAGCATCGACCTGGGGGTAGGATGAAGGGGCCCGGCCCCAGGAGGGTCCCTTCTCTGCAAAGCCATGGGAGCTCCTTCTTTAACGGAGGTGTGGTATCTCTCACATCCTCAAATACTTACCTTAGTCTCATTTTCCAATTACCCTTAAAGAGTTTGATTTAAATTAATATTCAAGCTTACATTAGTGTTTTGTAAATGTTATCCATATCTTGGCCATTTTTTTTTTTTTTTGCTGAAGTTAATATGTGCCAGTTTTTAAAATTTGCTTCCTTTTCTCCGAGCTCATCATTTAGATGGACGGTATGTCTAAGTTTTCTGACAGAGTAGTTTCTTTCAGTACTTTCAAATTCAGCCTTTAAAAAGAATTTCTTTTAAAATATTTTTATTGTAAAATAGGAAATACCTGACGAAAAGTGCATAGAATGTGTACATTCAGTTTTACTCAATACTAATGAAGAGTACATTGTTGGTATTTCAAGAAGAAACGACCTATGCATGTGATATTTCTGATCCCCAGTCCCTAGCTGACCACTATCCCGCCTGACTGTTAAGGTAATAATATTGTAGAGGCCGCTTTTAGGCAATCAACCTGAACAGTGGAAACCTCAGTAAGGTAGAAGGGCCCACAGAAACCCCCTGGCTGAATACGAACAGGCCCTTTAGGAGACCCACCTCAAAAGAATCATAAGCCCTAGCTGACCAGTGGGTAGACACAGGTACCAAAAAAGAAAAATTCCATACTTCCCATACCTTCTTACCTTCCCCCCTTAACCACAGCCCCCCACACCTGCCTCGCAGCAGTCTCTGCTTTGCTGTCAATAAACTTCTATCACCCTTGTTCTGCCTTGGGTGAATTCTTTCACTGCCTGTGTAGTAGGCTTCCACCAGCTCAGGTTACCCCACATTTGGTGGCTCCCATCGGATTGGGGGACTCCACAAATATCTTGGTTGTCAGTTATCTATCTTTCAAATTTATATAAATGCAAATCAAATTGCATGAATTTATCTTGCTTAGTTGTTAAAACTCCTAATTGAATTAACTTAAAACTCCGCAGGAAAAGTATGCCCATTCAGGCATGAAAATTATTTTCCTCAGTTAGTACTGTGTTGTGGGACCCCAAGATCAATACTCCCTCTAAGGTTGAATGATTCTCTAGAAGAACTCACAGTGAAACAATACAAAGCAAAATTAGCAAAGAGGAAAAGTGCATGGAGTAAAGTCCAGGAAAAACCAGGTGCATAGTTCCAAGGATCCTTTCCAAGTGGAGTCACACAGGATATTAATTTCCCCTGCAACGAGTTGTGACAACACACTTGAAATGTTGCCAACCAGGGAAGAAGCTCACTAGAGACTCAGTACCTAGAGATTTTATTGTGGGCTGGTCACAAAGGCAGCTTCTGCCAGGTGCATACTAGACTTTCAGAAGGAAAGCAGGTGTTTAACATAAACTATTGATTTGTACAAACAAGCATTGTGAGCCACTCTTATTAGGATAGCGGGACCCCCCCTCAGGAAAACTAAGTTCTAGATGCAAGCCAAGCACCAACTGTGCAAGCAGGCCTTCTAAAGATAAGAATTCTCAGGTCGGGCGCCTGGGTGGCTCAGTCGTTGGGCGTCTGCCTTCGGCTCGGGTCATGATCCCGGGGTCCTGGGATCGAGTCCCACATCGGGCTTCCCACTCTGCGGGAAGCCTGCTTCTCCCTCTCCCACTCCCCCTGCTTGTGTTCCTGCTCTCGCTATGTCTCTCTCTGTTAAAAAAAAAAAAAAAGAATTCTCAGGTCGGCTATGTTAAGGCTTTTCTGCACACTCCTGTCCTAAACAAAATGTCTGGCTTTCAACAACAACAACAAAAATTTAAGGCATATGAAAAGGCAAGGGAAAAAAAAAAATCAAGATGCTCCCAAGAGACCAAAAAACCCAAACCAAAACAAAACAGAAGTAAACGCAGGTGTCCTTAGCTTTTTGCTGCATAACTTCACTCTCTACCTCTGTCTTTACATGGCCTTCTTTTGTATGTCTTTTCATCTTCTATTATAAAGACACTTGTCATTGGATTTAGGTCACACACAGATAATCCAGGATGAACTCACTTAGAGATCCTTAACTTAATTGCATCTGCAAAGATCCTTTTACCAAGTAAGGTTGATGAGGGAGCAAAAGGCAAGCTGAGAACAAAGCACAAGCTGACACCGTCCCACCCCCAAGTCCCCGGTAGGATATGTTGACATTCCTCAGGCACTTCTGGCTGTTGTCAGCTCTCTCACTGAACATCTGTATTCTGCCTTACCCCAAGCACATCTGCCTGGTTCTCACTCACTCACTTGGAGAGAACCTACTTTACATTTCCTCTCTTCACCACCCATGGCCTCTCTTCTTGTTCCAACTTAAAGATTTTATCCAGTTTGGTGATGTGATAGCCTATATATAGGAAAGTGATATAAGACTGAATTTTAATTCAAGCACCATCCCCTAAATCAGACCGAGCTTGGGCCTTTAAGGAAGTTAACACATAAAGAGGAACAAAGTAAATAACCTTTTACCTTAAAGGTTGAGCATATGCAATCATATGGCAGAGGGTTTGAGAATACCTGAAACTTGTTATCTCAAAGCTGAATCTATTATGCCATGTAAAGTTTCTAAATATTTCAGAAATGGAAAAGAGACAGCACTTTATTTTCAAAAGTTGGATTATACAGAGAGCTATCCATGTCTAATATGACTGTGTTGCTCTAGTTCTCCAGCATCACATCCCTTACAGCTTCCTCTGAACATCTTTTGTGGTTGATACTTCTGCTTGAATTGAGCAATTACATCTCCAAACATTTACCCTACCATTGACCCCAATTTGCCCTACCAATTACTACAAAGAGTAAATGTCTGGGGGCAAGACTGTAGACAAAACAGGTACTCCTATAGCAAAATATACCCTGTTTAATATGTCATACTGATTTGTTATTCTATTCCAGAACAAATGGTTGGAAACTTAAGTGTTTCTATAAAAATGCTACAAGGTATTTGTTATATAAATTAAAATGTAGCTTTTCCCTCTTAAAATCAGAGCTCCAGGAAGACATACCCTTATTATCAGCTTGAGGAGAAAATGAGATTTGCAGGATTCAGATTCCTCCACCATCTCAGGCACCCATGCTGAGATGACCTACATTCAGGTGATCACATAAATACTCATACACATACCCGCAGGGATCCAGACACTCTTGCCCCACTAGCTGTACAACCACGCACACACCCATGATGTGACCCTCCAGCCTCACAAAGCCACACATAATCTTGATCCCACTCTGTCCCACTCATCAATTTTACCTGCATGCAGTTTCTCTTTCACTCAACTATCCTCCCTCCGCCCTCAACCTGTCCACATGTAATCTCACCACTGTCCCATGATGGGACCTCCTTTGTCCACTTTCACATACATGACTGGGCTTGAAGATTCCTCCCTTTCAAACTCCCCAGGCTGGTTTGGTCACAGATGCTCAGGTCCACATATGGGTTCGTTCTTCTGACAAGGTCCGCAGCAGCCTGACTCAAGAGCATTTTTGTATTCCCAGGGCAAAGCAGAATTCCGAGCACCCTCCAGGGCATTTAAGTGTGGCCAGGCCTCACCTCAGTGCCTAGAGGACACAGCTTACCTTGGCCTGGTCCATCAGGCCATTGGAGAAGTCCAGGACTGCATTTCCCAGGAGGCCGTAGGGCCAAGTATGTTGCAGGGTGAGTCGTCACAGCCCGAGAGAGCCGCACTGGAGGCTTTGTCAATGAAAAACTGCACCAGGCAAGTTAAACAGGTAAGGAAGATTTTATTAGATTGTCGCAGTGGAGAAGAGAGACTGAACTCGAGTCAATATATAACAGTAGCTGGGATTTATATCCAAGGGGCAGGGTGAGGGAGTCAGTGGATAGAAAATTACTAAGAGGAGCTTGGTGAAATATCAAAAGCCTTGGGATTCTTGTTGAACTAGGGTCAGTCAGCAGGTCAAGGACGAGACCCAGTCAAGAAGAGAGCTCAGAGGAGCCTGACTACAGTTTGGTCGACGGAATCCTAGTCAGCTGACACTGGCGGAAGCCCCCGGTGCGCTGCTCAGCGGGAAGACACAGTTTGGGGTGAGTCCAGGCTCTTTGCCACCGGGGAGTCGAGATAGGCAGGAGACCGCGTTTTAGCAACCTGTCGTTACATCTGTACTACATCTCCCAGATGCCTCTAGGCTCAGTATCCCTCTCGCGAGAACTAGCGCCTCTCCTGAGGAGTGGGCGGGATCTTCTGGCGGCTTGGGGCAAACGGCCTCCGGGCGCTGTGGGAGCTGTCGCGTTCGACTTGTTCCAAGTAGAGTAGAGGGGGTGCCGACCCTACCGAAGGAGGCATAGGTGAGGTGGCCCGGAACCCGGGGTTGGGGCCGGCGTGTCTGGAACCTCCGGCCTGTGCGGGGTGTGTAGGGGAGCCAGCTGAGCAGGGGAGACTGTGAGGAGGGTGTGTGTCTAAATGTGACTGTGTCTCTGTGTCAGTGTGAGCCTGTGTACGGAACTGTGAGGGCGGGGAGGAGGGCTTGATTTGCTGTTATGATTGTTCATGTGTGATGAGGTTTAATTGTGTGACCGGGTTTTTGCGAGTGTAGTGTTCTTTGACCGCGGTTGTAAAACTGGGTGTCTTCATGGTGCGTGTGTGTTTATGACCATTTGTTGAACTGTGGGTGTGGGATGCCTTACCTGTGAGATCTGTGATTGTGTTTACCCATGGTGTATGTATTTGTGATATTATTGGTGTAGGGTGCGTGTCAATTCGTTGTTGTCACTGTGTCCCCATGAAGTGTGGCAGTGGGAATGTGAGTGTGTGGGGTGCCTATGACTGCGATTGTGACTGTGTCTGTTCCCGTGGTGTGTATGCTTGTGTGACCATGTGCAGCCAGTTGTGTTTAGGTTTGGGGGTGCCTGTGTCCCCGTGGTTGAGTTTGTGGGACTGTGTGTCCGTATAGCACTGTAGTGTGGGACGCCTTTGTCTGCCTTTGTGACTCCAGCGCTCTGCTCCCGGGGGACCTCTGTGAGCTCAGGGACAGATTCTGCCCAGAACTGCAGTGACCCTACTCTTGTCTTGATGCCGGTATTGAACAGGACGCCCTAGTCTTGCATGACCTAGACCTACATTTATAGGTGGCGGGCGGTGGTTGACCTAGGCTCGCAGAAGAACCTGATGTTTCCTGACTCGTTTCTTCTTCCTCAGCTCTGCTTTGCTTGCACAGAGGCTTCCAGAGTGGAGTAAAGAATGGCTGTTGAACATCCACAAGGCTCCTGCAAGGTAGTTTGTGGTTTCCCCTTGTTTCCTGAAATCCCCTTTTCTTTGTCAGGACTTGACTTGCTTTTCTCCTCTTGAAAATTCTTGCCCATCAAGTGATTTGATCCCTGGAATTTCCCCTTCGAGAAAATGTGATTGGCTGCAAACCCTAAGCCCTCACATGCACCTGATTTTCTCTTACTAATTTGTCAAATGGTTTAATTTTCCTTTATGCTGTCTTTTTAAAAAAATACTATTTCTTTCTATTTATAAAAATAAGACATGACTATTTTAAATAATTTCAGAAGTACATCTTTTGAAGAAAATTTCAATTCCCAGCTAAAACTAATGCTAACTTTTTTGTATTTTCTTCCTGGTCTGTTTTATGTATATATATAAAATGTGATTTTTAAAAATTGAATTCATTCAACATTTACCATTATAACCTACATTTTTACATAAAATTATATTTAAGTATTTTCCCACGTGATTTAGTATTTGAAACATTTTTAGAAGTTCATATTTATTTGAATGCCTGTGGCTTTTTTTCTCTCTCTCAAATTAGATACAGAAATGGTATATCCTACTCATTTGTGCCATTTAATACATAATTATAAAGACTCACAATAGGGAGTACCTAAGAAATAGAATACAGCCATCTCTAAAGAAACCTCTGTTGCACCCTTCCACAATCACAAACAATTGTGTTCCTCTGGTGATGACCACTGTGATCATTTCTTTGCCTTTCATTAGAACTTTAGTGTATGAATTCCAAAATCATAGGTTTAGTTTATGTGTTTTCTTTGTATGAATAGACATTCTTTTGTGTGTTTTTTCATATTTAATATGAGCTTCATGTTTCCTGTAACTACAGTTCATTTTTTTCCATTGCTGTATATATATTATCTTGCATGATAGCATCACAATTTACTGCTTATCCAGTCTACTTTTCATGGATATATGACTTGCTTCCAGTTTTGACTGTTACAAGCCATGTGACTGTGAATATTTTGCACATATTTTGGTACATGTGTGCTTGCATTTCTTTAGCATATATGCTAAAATTGTGTTTAAATTGCTGAGGGATAGAATTTGTATGTCTTCAGTTTTACTAGACAATGTCAAACTGTTCTCTAAAGATACTGTGCAAGGGGTGCCTGGGTGGCTCAGTCGGTCTGCCTTTGGCTCAGGTCATGATCCCAGGGTCCTGGGATCGAGCCCCACATCGGGCTCCCTGCTCAGTGAGGAGTCTGCTTCTCCCTCTCCTTCTGTGTGCTCTCTCTCTTTCTCTCAAATAAATAAATAACTAAATCTTAAAAAAAAAATAAAGATACTGTGCAAGTTTTTACTTGTATCAGCAGTTTATAAAGATTTTTGCTCCACATCCATGCCAGCCCTTGGCATCATCGTACTTTTAAATTTTTGCCAATTTGGTGGATGTCTAATGTTATTAATTACACATTTAATTGATATTTCCTTGATTATCAATGAAACTGAACACAAATTCTTGCCCAACCGGATGTCCTCTTTTGTAAAATGCTTGTTGAAATGTTTTTCCAATTTTTAATTGGGTTGCTTTTCTCCGATTAAAGCAGATATATATATATGTGTGTGTGTATATATATATATATATATATATATATATATATGTATATGTATATATGTATCTTCTGTATAATAGTGACTAAATATTTTCTTCCGCTCTGGCTTGGTTTTTCATTCTGTTGCCTTTTGATGAATAGAGGTTTGGGATTTAAATGTTACAAAATCTTTTTCAGTGGTTAGTGTTTGTTTAAGAAATTTTCTGCTACCTTGAGGTAATGAAAATTTCTTATGTTCTCTTCTAAAAGCTTTCCACTCTTTGGCTTTAACATGTAGGTCTTTACACTACCTGGAATTGATTTCTGTAGGTAGTGATGTAATTTGATTTTATCCCCTACATGGATATCCACTTGTTCCAGTATCATTTATTGTAAAGTTCATCTTTTTCACACTGATCTGTAGTGCCATTTAGTAAAAATCAAGTGATCATATATGTCTACGTTTATTTCTGGACATTATATTCTGTTCCATTCTGTTTTTCTCTCCTTGCAGCAATATCATGATATTTTATTCACTGTGACTTTATAATATTTGGAGCAAGTCATCTTACCTCTTGTTCCTCAAGAGTATCTTGGCTGTTTGTGTTCCTCTGCATTTCCATATAAATTTTTTGAAATAGCTTAGTTCCACTCAAGCATCTTTTGTGATTTAGATTGAATTGCATTGTATCTATAATTGTGTGAGTAGAAATTTGGTGAATCTTCTAATAACATGAAACTCTCAGTTGTTTTAGTCTTCTTAAGGTTTTCTCAACAAGGTCTTGCTTATCTCCTGTAAATAGTCCTATGCAAATAGGAACCATATAATCCATTGTATAGTATTTCCCTTTTGCATTGACTCTCAGGAATCTGAACACTTTAAATAATGATCAGTCATAGTAATAATTTTAGCCTGTGTTTATGATATTGAGTACCCGTTACCTATGACCATTGTGTATGATTAGAAATTTTTTTTTCTTTAATTCTTAGCCTCCTCAAATACATTTTTGGAAGTAGGGATATAAAAATTCGGTAGGGGGCGCCTGACTGGCTCAGTCAGTGGAGCGTGCAACTCTTTATCTTGGGGTTGTAAGTTCAAGCCCCACGTTGGGTGTAGAAATTACTTAAAATTAAAAAAAAAAAGGGGGCACCTCGATGTCTCAGTTGGTTAAGCGTCTGCCTTCAGCTCAGGTCATGATCCCAGCATACTGGGATTGAGCCCTGCATCAGGCAGGGAGCCTGCTTCTCTCTCTCCCTCTGCCTCTCCCCCAGCTTGTGCTCTCGTTCTCTCTCTCAAATAAATAAATAAAATCTTTAAAAATTAAAAAAAAAATAGGTATAGCCTTAGGTACAGATGTAGATATCTATTGTCTAAAAGTTTTATTTTAATAACATTCTGGTCCAATCAGTTCTGCTTTTTATGCTACCTTTTACTGTTCTCTCCATATTATATTTCTTTTTTAATTGTCCTTTCCTCTTCCCCCTACCTTCCGCTGTCCTTTGTCAGATAGTTTTTACCTTTGCATCTTTGCCATCTATTCTCTTTAGTTTAAATATAGGCTTCTTCAGAATAAAAAAAAAAAAAAGAAACATCATCTCTCAGATTATTTTACCTATGCTGGTCTCTCTGTAACATGGTATAAAAAGCATGGGCTCTAGTATCAGATGTGGCTTCTGATCTCAGCTGCACCACCTGTGAGCTGTTGAACCTGTAAATGAGAGGTTCTTATTCTCACTTAATGTTGAGAATGAAATAAGACATGTGTAGAACACTTGGTACACATCAGAAGTTCAAGAAATGTTAGCTCCCTTTCTCCTTTACTTCTCATTCTTGGGACCTCTATATCAATTACAGTATAAAGCACTTAACTAAAGGCCTTTTGGTGGTTCCCAAAGGATTTTTTTTTAATTGAGGTACAAATGACATGTAACATTATATTAGTTTCAGAAGTACAAGATAATGATTTGATATTTGTATATATTTTGAAATGACCCCACAGTAAGTCCAGTTAATATCCATCACCATATGTAGTTTTTCCTGTGATGAGGATTTTTTAAGATTTAGTCTATTAGCAACATTGAAATATGCAGTGCAGTATTATTTACTACTCATGACTTATTTGTTTTATAACTGGAAGTTTGTACCTTTTGAACCCCTTTACCCATTTCACACTCCCACCCCCAGTCTCTGGCAACTACCAATCTGTTCTCTATGTCTACGAGCTTGGCTTTTATTTGTTTGTTTAAATTCCACTTATAAGTGAAAGTATATGGTATTTACTTTTATATGACTTACTTCACTTAGCATAATGACCTCAAGGTCCATCCATGTTGTCACAGATGGCAAGATTTCATTCTTTTTTATGACTGAATAATATTCCAATAATCTTTATTCATCCGTTGTTGGTCACTGAGATTGTTTCCATATCTTGGCTATTGTAAACAATGCTGCAGTGAACATGGGGGTGCATATATCTTTCTGAGTTCATGTTTTCATTTTCTTTGGATAAATACTCAGAAGTGGAATTGCTGGATCATATGGTATTCTATTTTTAATTTTTTGAGAAACCTCCATACTGTTTTCCATAGTGACTACACCAATTTACATTCCTACCAGCAGGGCAAAAGGGTTCCCTTTTCTCAATATCCTTCTCAACACATTATTTCTTATCTTTTTGATAATAGCCACTCTAACAGTTGTAAGATGATATCTCATTGTAGTTTTAATTTGCATTTCCCTGATGGTTAGTAATGTTGAGCATCATTTCATCTACTGTTGGTCATCTGTATGTCTTCTTTGGAGCAATGTTTATTCAGAACTCCTGCCCATTTTTTAAATCAGAATGTTTATTTGCTATTGAGTTGTATTACTTCTTTATATATTTTGGATATTATCATATACCCCTTTATCAGGTATATGATTTGCAAATATTTTCTCCCCTTCAGTAGGTTACCTTTCTATTTTGTTGATGATTTACTTTGCTATTCAGAAGGTTTGTTTTGTTTTTTTTTTAAAGATTTTATTTATTTATTTATTTGACAGAGAAAGACACAGCGAGAGAGGGAACACAAGCAGGCGTAGTGGGAGAGGGAGAAGCAGGCTTCCCGCTGAGCAGAAAGCCCAGACATGGGGCTCAATCCCAGGACCCTGGGATCATGACCTGAGCCGAAGGCAGATGCTTAACGACTGAGCCACCCAGGCACCCTATTCAGAAGCTTTTTAGTTTGATATAGTCCACTCACTTATTTTTGCTTTTGTTGCCTTTGCTTGTGGAGGTATATCCAAAAAATCATATCCAAGACCAGTGTCAAGGAGCTAATAGCCTCTGTTTTCTTCTAGGAGTTTTATGGTTTCAGGTTTTATGTTCAAGCCTTTTTGTCCATTTTGAGTTAATTTTTTGTATGGTGTAAGATAATAATCATTCTTTTGCATGTGGCTGTCTA